CACTCTATTGTCAAAGAGTGAGGGGTGTCAAAAAAGGCTTTTGTTACTTTCAGTATAATATTATAGCAATCTCTTTCAAGTAAACCCATTTTAGAAGGGGTCAGTTGATATACACTATCGGCCAAAAGTTTGAAATAATTTTTAATTATTATTACTTTTTTTAATGTTTTTGAAATAAGTCACAATGCTTACCAAGGCTACATTTATTAGATCAAAAAACAGTAAATATTATTGCACTTTAAAATTATTTTCTATTTAAATATTTTGTAAAAATATAATTTATTACTCTGATGGCAAAGCTAAATTTTCAGTAGCCTTTACTTCAGTCTTTAATGTCACACGATCTTTCAGAAATGTTGATTTAGTGCTCACTTTTTATCGGTGCCCAATTAATGGTTCTTATTATCATCAAACGTTTTTTGTTGCATAATATTTTTTTGGAAACTAACATACATTTTCAGGATTCTTTGATGAATAAATAGTTCAAAAGAACAGCATTTATTTAAAATAAAAAAATAAAAAAACTTACCCCATACTTTTGAATGGTAATGTGTCACGGTTTGCACAAAATATGAAGAAGCACAACTGTTTCAACATTGATAATAATGAGAAATGTTTCTTGAGCATCAAATCAGCATATTAGAATGATTTCTGAAAGACCATGTGACACTAGAGTAATGGCCACTGAAAATTCAGTTTTGCCATCACAGAAATAAATAACATTTTACAATGTATTCAAGTAGAAACCAGTTATTTTAAATTTGATACATAAAAAATCAGCTTTTACTGTATTTTTTATCAAATTAATGCAGCCTTTGGTGAGCATAAGACACTTCTTCATTTTAAAAAATTGTCATTATTCCAAACGTTTGACTGGTTTTGACTAGTTGTGCCTCAGTGAGAATATTTCAGCACCATGGACAGCAGCTTACTGTTGTTCCAGCAGCCATGCAGAAGCATGGAACGACAGTGCATATTTTTAGCAGCAGGCCTGCTGTCGAAGAAAATAACATTTGGATTTATTATTTATTTCTTGACAGAAAAAAAATAAGTATGATTGTCATTTGATTGTAAGGCTCATTCGCATAGACATACCGCTGAGATCAAATTTTAGGATGAAAATGCGAGACTCTCCTCTTGAGACCACTCCTCTGCTGAAATTTAGATTGGAGCGTTCCAGTTCCACTCCAGGTTCATCAAACCGAGCTCCCTGTGACCTACGGTGCTCCCTCTGTAGACCAATCGGTCTGTAAATTACCCGCTAATCGTGTATGATTATTATTATCACGATGATGGACGTGCTCATCAGACGCTTTTCATTTGGGCCGGCTTGAAAACAGCAAAAGAGACGAGAGAGGGGCGAAGAGAAAGACTATAGGGAACAATAATGGCAACATAACTTATGTAATCGTTGCGATACTACGCAGAGAACATAATTACAATGATTTGTGCTAACACATTTCGTCCTTGTATTAAAAATATGGCTCAAGGCAAGTCGGGTGTGATCTCGGGCAGCGTGGCCCCAAGGGTATGCTTGCAGAACCGAGCACAGTGCCCTGCCAAAGAAAGCGGACTGACTCAGCTGGGCTGGGTTATACTGACAGTCCGAAATGACATTAACGGGCCATTACAGCCTCTGAGTGCGGTAGGTGAGAGGGCCATGGAGTGCTTTTCGTTTCCTTTTTAATGCTGCTTTGGACCGCATCCAACGCTTTAAAATCGCATAGTTAAGGCCAAAAACATACAAGATTATACTGTGTTTTAATATTTGCCCAGTTGACCTTTGGGCGGAGAACATGAAACAATAAGAGATGCAATGTAGATAAAAGAGCAGCTGAGCTATAAATTACTTATTTGGAAAGATGCAATTAAGAGAAGTTGCTCTTCTAAGAAACATAGCATGATGCAATTCATTGCATTTATTGTATTATTGTGAACTCTTAAAAATAAAGGCTGCACTTAGGTCCAAAAAGGAATTTGCAATCAGACGTCATAGAAAACCTTACACATTCTGCAAAGTGTACATGTAAACTACTTTTTTTTTTTTTTTTTTCTCTTTTTTAATGTTTTGTTTTATTTTATTTTATTTTATTTTATTTATTTTATTTTAGAAAATATAGGTGCACTGATGCTTTTTATTATCCCAAGAATCATATATATCCAATACAAGAATGCAGTGAAATACAGTGAAAATGGTTCTTGGTCTTTTTCTCTTTTTTCTCCTCTTTTTTTTAAGAACCTTTATTTTATAGAACAAAATGTGCTTTTTAACCATTATGTCATGACTCCAAATTAAATGTCCAAGTCTGTTTAAAGACCACAGTGAAAAACAATGCAATAATCGTGCATAATAGGATACATTACTATTATTATTATTACTATTATTATTCTTTCAAAAGGTTCTTTGTTAGTATGTATGGTTCAGTGAAGAACTTTTAACATCTGTGGAATCTTTTTATTGCACAAAATATTCTATGTAGTGAAAAATGTTCTTTTGACAGATCATTACACTAAGAAAAAAATTAATAAATAAAGCTTATTTTAAGAAACAACCTGAAAGGTTCTTTGGGAAAACAAATGGTTTTGCATGAACAGGTTACATTTGGTATCATGTTGGGTCACCACTTGATATCCAGTGCCAAATCTGACTTCTGATGCAAAACTAATTGAGAATCATTGTTCTGAACAGCTATGTCATGGGCTTTTCAGAGCATTCAGAAGGCCTCCTCTAAAGCGGCTTGTTGTTTTCCTCCATTTTGAGTTCGCTTGAGTGCTCCTACCTGCCGTTGTGCCAGTGCCGAACACATGTACGCCTGTTGTTCTCCGTGGGCCTCGTGCTCAGCAGGAACTCTGAAGCAGCCTACAATTTCCCATCATTATGAGCAGGTGCTTTGGTCTCGACAGTGGTGTGTCATTGTCGGCATGAAAAACGCTGTGGTTGTGTGCTCTGGTGTGGAAATTGGAGGCTTGCATGCAACATTTGCACATGTGCATACACGCTTTGACTGTCAACAGCGGTTCGTATCGTGTATAAGTGGGATTTTAGAGGTGTTGAGGGCTCAGGTTAGATGTTTGGAGGCGTCACTCAAACCTCCAAGCAGTCTTCATTACATCTGTTCAGTCAGTCTTCATTACATCAGGGTTGTTTTTCCTGATCAGAAAGAACAGCAGATCTCTGTAGGTTCATTGATGGGGTTATGATATTAAATTGAAGAGACACTTCGTTTTTGGCTTCAGTAAAAGAGAGTTTATCGTTGAAGCAAATGCTCTGTAGTGAACAGTGATTCACAACAGCATTTTTGTCTGATGAAATCCACAGACACAATCAAAGTGAGCTCCTAAGTGAAAAGATGTGACTATAAATAATCTTTCAAAGAGTACTTAAAATTTCTACTGTCAGCTATTGACCCATTGCTCTTGAATTATGTTCCAGGGATGTAAAAAATATGGCCATGTTTTAATTCTACTCTAAATGCAGCCATAAATAATAATCAGTCAAAAAATGTTTTATGATAAGATTTCAATAGCTGTTTGTAATGTCCATTACAATGGGCATTGGTTCTAAACTGTAGCAACATCCAGCAGAAAGTTTCCTGTGAGGGGTAGGGTTGGTGCAGGGCAATAGAATATACGGTCTGTACAGTAGAAAAACCATTACGCCTATGGAGAGTCCCCACAAGGATAGCAAACCAGACGTGTGTGTGTGTGTGTGTGTGTGTGTGTGTGTTTACACACACATACACAATGGGGTCAAATGTCTCATATGTTCACCAAGGCTGCATTTATTTGATCAAAAATACAGTAAAAACTGTAATATTGTTAAATATTTTTACAATTTAAAATAACTGTTTTCCATTTGAATATATTTTAGAAAATATAAATATATTTAGAAAAAACGCAATAGCATTTTCTTGTAAACCGGACTTCAATAATCTTATTTAAAAGTATTTAGCTCTTTGAAAAATATTTTTAGTGTCAAAAAGTGACAAAACTAAAATATATTGAAATGGAAAACAGTCTATTTAAACTGTAATATAGAAGCTATTGTTGTTTTTTCTGACATATTAAGGTTATAAACATTCAAACTGTGCCATATTGTTCTGCCATAATTCAAAAGAAGGTTGTTGAGCAAGGGAAAAAAAAACATTTGTAGCACTCATAGATTGACATATCCGTCCAATCTAAAAATGCATTATGATGGCATCAAATGATCAAAACCATATAAAACACCCAGATAAAAGCGATGCTTGCTGGAATGAACACTAGGACTGAACGGGTTAACGGTTGCTCTAGGAACCAACTATATAATACGGATTTGTATGTTTATTACCCCCATTCCTGAACACACACACACACACACAAACAGTGTCACCTCCCTGCCCGTACACACCGCGCGGAGGAGCTCACAGCCCTCTTTCTAGCTCGTACATTTGAAAAGAGACATTACCTCGATTAAATACAAACACATTTTTGTATTTCTTTGAATGATAAGTAAAAATAATCCTAATTATAAAATTGAAATGATTTATCCCGGCGAGGTTACATGCATAAGGCTGCTTTTGCCTTTGCACTTTCCGAGCGTTTCAGCACTGGCGCTGTCCATTAGTTCCCCTCGAATTTTGGTGAATCCTTTGATGCTTTCCTGAGAAATGCATTTAGGGGAACATTATGCATTAGAGTGCGTTGAAAAAAACAACAACAATGCATACACGGTTTTTTTTTTTAAATAAACATTGAATGCCACTATGTACAAGTCTAAGGCGCGTCATTCACAAGGCAGCGTACAAAGAGCCGTGTAAATGTGATATTTTCTTTATTTATAGTCCCTCTCCTTCGGCGGAACATACCATGTTTCTGTATAACGATGAGAGGGGGAGAGAGCGCGTCGTGTGACATAAAGCGAGCTGCTTTTTCTTCTCTTCCTCCCCACTGCACTGAGCGCGTTTGAGACAGCCCTGTCGGTTTAAACCGGGAGGACACCCATACCGACTTCCCAATGCAAAAAATAAAAGGGTAGCTAGAAGCAGGGGCGAGGGGAACGGAGGTAAAGCGAACGCTCTCGGTCGGTCTCTCTCTCTCGTTTTTATTACATTAATGAATTGAGTTGTAAGGGACACGTACAAGGAAACACGCCTCCACCTGGACGACCAAACGCGTTTGATATTTGATTGTGTTCAATGGTACGTGTTTGCATCTGTACATTTTCGGCGAAAACCAGAGTAGGACGTCTCATCCCGTCGTTTGAAACACTTCTGAAGGCGTAGCAGCTGAAAGTCCTCGCGGTGAACATGGCAACTTTAACGAACGGACAGGTGGACGCCGCGGTGCACGGAGGAGCGGCCAGTACGAACGGGCTCGTGAACGGAATAAGCCACACGCACAGTCCCGCGAGCTGCGCCACCATTCCAATGAAGGACCACGATGCCATCAAACTGTTCATCGGACAGATACCCCGCAACCTGGACGAGAAGGACCTCCGGCCGCTCTTCGAGGAATTTGGCAAGATCTACGAGCTCACCGTGCTGAAAGACCGCTTCACTGGCATGCACAAAGGTACGTTTCGCACTCAGTTCCTGTCACTAGAATGTCTTGATTTGCTTTGCCTCCGTTTCCATCATAAAATCGGATGACAGGCTTGGATGTACTGGCTGTTTTTATGCATGTATGAAATGTGTTAGGGAATTGTTCATTCATCGGCTTACTATGAAAGTTAAGTATTGATTTAGAATTGTTCCGTAGCCAACACGAAGCGAATTTTGTTAGATCGCAAACGGTACTTCGGGGGTTTTACGCGAGCCTATTTTGAGGTTGGGGGTGAGTTTTTCACACTTGAAATGGACGTATCTTATTTTGTGCTTCACGCTGTTCATACTACCTTGCTTGGTTGTTAATTTTAGGTAGTCAGGTTTTGAGATTTCCACGCTGCGCATTTGTAACGTTCTTATTTGAATATTAACGTTGGACAAATACTACACGCTTAATGACTGCTTGTTCATCTGTGTGAAAAGTCGCTATGTGGAGCAAAATAATATCGTCTATTCATCATTCTACTTAACGCGTTTGCCTTTACCGTTCGACATTTTTAACTGTTTCCCCTCAGTCGTGGAGGCGTGTGAAAGTTTTAGCGACTGTACAAAGCGCATTAATTTTTAATGAGGTAAGAACTGAGGCACGTTATGATTGGTGTCTGTTTCTAAACAACTCGCCATAACGTTTAATGTTAGTGTAACGCATTGTCGCTAGCATAAAACCCAGGGTTAGAAGTAATGCTAACACCCCTTCCAAAATTGCAAGTGTAGAACGTGTACTTAACCCAGGGTTAAAACTGACCTTTACACGGTGTTGAGAAAGATGTTAACCCAAGGTTAAGGGTAGTGTGAAGATCCCTGTAGAAGCTGTCTTGATGTCCAGCTCGCTTGGTAAGTCCATCAAAAATTTTCCATTGTGGCTTCTTCCTCTCTCTCTCTCTCTCTCTCTCTCTCTCTCCCTCTGTGTGTGTGTGTGTTCAGGTTTTGCCTACATTGTGCTGACTAGATCTTCAAGGATATAAAAGTCTGAGCTCTACAGGCTTTTCTGATATTTGGTGAAGATGGAAAATGTTATTAACTCTGTATAAAACAATAGAAGCCAATAGAAAGTCCCTACCATGGTAGAAAAACAAATGTGTTTGTACTCTAGCTTCTGTAAACATTTCCCTCAATTAGTTTTCTTTAGCGATTGTGTTGTGTGCACAAAAAAACTCTTGAGCCTTTTGTCTAAGAATGATCGTGCAGCAACTAAAGGTAAATGGCAGCCGTCAAGACAATGAAAGAGTACATTATGAGCAAGGATAGGATCTGTGCTGAAAGGGTCTGTCCAGTAACCTCTTAATTGGGGTTGTGTAGTCGTGATTGTTCCTGTTCTATTGCTTCACAATAAAATATTAATTTATGATGACAGTATGCACAATAGCATTTCAGCGTGGTGTGTTCTAGCGGTAACAGCAGCCGAACTATAATTACCTCCTGCTTATCTTCTCCTCGCCAGTTGGTGTCCTATGCAGCAACTCACGTCTCCGGTTAGTTTCGGCCACAACTGTGCCTTGTTTGTGCGATCGTCTGCTCCTGCAGTGTGGTAATTACTGCTGAAGCTGTGTACCTGTGGTGTGTTCGGAAAGATCAATTCCTGAAGACCTCAGCCAGGGGCCCAAAGGGGGTCTCCCTAGGAACATCTTCCCAGGGGTGTCATTATTTCACAGGCTTGTCTAATTGATCCCCAACCCAGAAGACATTGTTTAGGGTCACAGGGAAGAGCCGAGGGAAGAGCTGCATACCCCAGCCCTGGGGATGTAGTCCCTCTGTTGTAGTAAACAAAGCTGTCCTCTGTATGTGCCTAGCAAAAATGTGGCTTTGAGAAGCGGGTCTGGGGAGGGTAGGAGGTTATCTTTTATTAATAGCACCGCTGGAGTACTCCCCGTCTGGTGGTTAATCATGTTGCTTGTGAACTATGGGGAGTCGTGCCGGCTGATTCTAGGAACTGTCTCCTTCCTGCAATATATGGTCCTTTGTACCCATCCCCCCACTGCAGGGCCCCGTGTTCACTAGTGTGGTCGTCAGGCCTGCTTGGCTCCATGTTATAACTGAGTTTAGGTACTCGTTCACTCCCTCTCCACAACATAAGCACTGGCGTCAGTGTCTCTCAAAATCCATTTCCCTTTGGCAGCAGTGCCGTTCTCTCCATACCCTGGAGTACGCTGAGGCCTGTCCGCTCTGGAGCTCTCGTTGCTTCAAGAACTTAATATGCTGTTTTGTAAAACTGACCTTTCCCTTCACTTTCAGAAAAAGTAGTGCATTTATAACAGCTTGTCACTGGGCCAGTACCCTTAAAAAGTGTACCCTTAAAGGAATGGTTCACCTAAAATTAAAATTCTGTCATCATTTATTTATCCTCATGTTGTTCCAAAACTGCATGCATTTATATCTTCTGTCAAACGTAGAAGATATTTTGTCTCAGTGTTTTTTTCTTCCATAAAATGAAGGACCCAAAAGATCTTTTGAGTTTCATGGAATAAAGAAAGTCATATAGATTTGGAACAACATGAGCGTGAGTAAATGATTACAGATTTTTAATTTTCAGTTGAACTGTTCCTTTAAAGTCGGCATGAAACAGAATTTGCAGTCGTCTTTTTTCCCCTCTCCTGACGTAGGCCTAAATCTCAGTGTAACAGATCCTCGAAATGAGGAAAAAAAGGTAGGGCAGGACTTATTTTTGTCCAGTGAGAATTGATTGGATCATTGTTCGCTAACTGCTGTGATCTCGCGTCAGAGTGACAGCTTGCTGGATTGGAGGGATCGTCCTCATGCCAGTGTACACGTCATCAGAGAAGTCATGTCGTTGCGAGGGAAACAAATGTTAATGTTTTTGATGTAAGATTATGAGGGCACATTAATTTAAAATTATGGTGTGTACAGATAAATCATTTAAAATGAACACTGCAATAAAAAATAAAAAAAAGAATGGCCAAATTTGATTTCATGGTGACTTCAAATGATTTGCACCAGTGACAAGCTAAAAGCTACCAAGCTTTCCCTAAAACAATCTTTCTGACAGTGCCTCCCAAACAAATTATTATTTGTTAAAACTCCATAAATACTCTAGTCCTACAGTTGTCTGCCCCCCCCCTTGATCATTAACATGATCACATTGTCTTGTTTTTCATCATTATAGGAAGTTCTCCATCTTGGCACTTCATCCGTCTCCACATCCACCCACTTCCTCTCTTCACACGTTATCACCTCCTCCAGCCTATTGCATGTCTCCGCCGTCTCTCCTCTCCCAATCATGCGATTTCCTTTCCATTCACAGGCTAGAAGGGGTTTTGTCATCCATTTATTCACTCACTTCAGTGTTTCCCCTAGGTTTATGGCTTTGGGGGGGGGAGGTTCTGTTTTTTTTTCCGTTTGAATTTTTATGGACTCCTTTTTAATGGTTAAATTCAATTGTATTAATCAAAAAACATGTCTAATTAATTAAAATCATGAAACTTAAACAATTTAACATCAATTTATCAAAAGTTTAACAAACATTACATGTTTAGGGCCTATGAAATGTTTTATTTTTTCCAACCTTATATTTTATTGTTACCAAATTCTGTGTTTTAACAATCTAATAATCTAATTTTGAAAACAAGTTTAATTTATTCTTACAATAGCCTAATGATTTTTTTCCTCTGAAATTCTGTGTTGTGTATTTACATTTAAGGCATAAAACAGTCATTTAATTTATCTTTTAATTAATGAAAATTAAACAAATGTTATTTTTGGAAAATAAAGGGGATTTAATATTACTATTAAAACATTGAAGAAATATTGTATGATTATATTCCTTAAAAATAAGGTTTTAATAATTTTAGTAGTAGTAGTAGCCTATTACGTACATTCTACTGAACAATAGTAATATATTTCTGCCGCAATGTCTTCAAGTTAAACCGAACTTTTATTTTGAAGGGTTGCCGTGAATACCTTTACATTCCTGTGTTTATGTGATTTGATGAGGATAGTTTTACTCAAATGAAACGGTCAAATGCTCACGAAGTGACTCTCAGAGCAGTTCTGGAGATGTTGTTCATGTATTTATGTCCTCATTAGTGAGACGGCAGACGTTAATGTCACCGGAAGAGTCATACGTGCTTCAGTACGAGTAGTACACAAAACCGCGCGTCTGTGCCATTCATTAACACATAGACACGTAGAATTCATGTTTAAATAGTCGTTTTGCGACTTAATATTTACAAATACTAGTGGGAGTGTGCTCACTTGTGTGTGCGCATCGGGGTGGAACTCCGCTGTGCGCAATGCAGAGAGCGCGACCACGTAACGTAGAGACAGAAATGACATGCCGTCGTGTAAATAAGATAAATGACATAAGGCTATTTAGTTTGTTTAATAAAAGAACAAGGTATAGACCTGTTCTATAGGAAAGGTAACTTTAAATGACGTCTGTTGTGATCTGGCGCTATAGAGAAAATATAATTAAATAAAATTA